CGTCCGTTTATACCTCCGCCATTTTCCCTCTCCAAAAGTGAGTCTTATTTGAGATGTATAATCTGAGGTGATGATATATGCCAACTGCAGGGGTCTGTGGCCAATTTAAAAACTGATCAGAAACATACAATCAAAGCTATAATTTTAAAGTTATTAGTTTTAGGCCCTTGTTCAAGATGACAGACAAGGCCTCCTGGCATTGCGTGTCTGACGTCCTAGTGCTGAACACATAATGCCGAACTCGAGGTCAGGAGCTGTGGGTGCAGTGACTCGTCCTTCATGTGGAAAATGAGAACTCGGAAAATGATTGTGGTTCCAACTGCAGTCCCACAGGGAAAGGACTGAGTGATATGGAAAATGCCGGTACATTCATGATCTCCTCAAATGAGTTTGACATCAAGTTTGAAATTCCTATCCATATCCCACTACTGCTCCAAAAATCGCAGTCCCAGAACTGGATGGAAAAACAGCAAAGATAAGTATAGGGGTGGCAAAATATGTCTGACTGCTCACTTTAAGCCTTTGTGGACCAGGACTAGCTCATCTCATGGCTCTGGGGCTGGGTCCACAGCTGGCAGTGGAAATCCCAGATGTGGTTCACAAAGGTGTGATTCAGCATAAAGAGAAATACAACCAATGGAGGATCAAGCCAGCGAGGCTGGACAGAGAGCCCTTTGATAGGCTATGTTCCTGTTTTCCTGTGCATCCCTCTGCTTACTCATCTAACTGCTCCCCCCACACTCCACCTACTGTTACTACGTAGCTGCAGCAGGCGTTGCTGAAAACAACAACAACCTCAAAACAATATTGCTACTGAATTTCTAAGCCTACATGGGGAGGGGAAAGACTAGGGCTTCAGAAAACCAAAAGGCAATTTATACCTCTTCCCCTAAAGGGATCGGGGTTGACTGAAAGTGGGTACACAGTCTCTCTGGTTTCTGGAGATAACATCAATAAAAACTGCTTCCTCCAGGGGGAGTTATTGGATTTATCAATTAATAAGTATCTACTGGGGAAATTACTCAATTCATGTTCAAACTAGAGATATAATTTAGAGATACATGAGAAATGTTAATGAGATGGTCATATAGTTATAACTCACCATGTCATATTTCAAATATTTAACAGTACAGAAAAAGGAAGAGTCTATGTGACCTGGATGGTCATGAAAAGGTTGTATTTTTTAAAAGTATAATTCAGTCTGGATTCCCATGAACTGACAGAATTCAGAGAAAAGAGTGAATTGGTCACTCTAGCAGGAGCCTGCATGTGGAAGCATCAGGCATAATTAGGGAGCAGCAAGCAGGGCAATAGACTAAAAATACAAGTGTGGGAATGCGCCGTTAACAGGAAACAGAATAGGGATACACTGTGGGAAACAATACTGTGATAATGGTTTCAGAATTTATCCTAGCGGCAGAAAAGAGCTGCTAAAGGTTTCTCAATGCAGCGGATAAACCGGCTTCAATGCCAGGACTGTATCACAGGCACAGCCCAGACCTGGCCAGCTACAGAGCCCTTTATTGGTTGTCACCTGGCTCTCCACACCCTGCCCTGAGTTCCTGTCTTCCTTCTAGTCATTTGCAGTCACCCCGTGGGCAGTTACAAGAGGCAGGTCACAGGAATTAGGGGCACTGCTGTCACATCTGCATTCTCAGCTCAGTGTTCTGTTTAAGGCACGTGCTCTTCGAAAACAGTTTGAAATACTGTATTCTAGCCCCACACTCTGAGGCAGAGTCCAGGAACCTGGGAAGAAACAATGCCTTGAAACTAGCATCTGGGGAAATCCTAGATTTAAAAATAGGTGGAATGGTTTGGCTCAGTGGATAGAGCGTCGGCCTGCAGACTGATGGGTCCTGGGTTCGATTCTGGTCAAGGGCACATGCCCGGGTTGCAGGCTCCATCCCTGGCCCTGGTTGGCATGTGAGAGGCAACCAATCAAAGTATCTCTCTCACATGGATGTTTCTCTCTCTGTGTCTCTCCCCTTCACTTCCACTCTCTCAACTCTGTCTTTACCTCTTTCTTCAAAAAAAAAAAAAAATCAATAGAAAAATATCCTATGGTGAGGCTTAACCAAAAATAAATAATAAATAAAATAAAAGTTGGTGGAGGCTGGAAGCATCCGGTACTCATATCCTCTCAGTCACATGACCAGGGCGGGTTTTCTTTCACAGCCTGTATCAAATAGGAAAGTTGGTTGGAGCATTTGCTGGAGAAACTTGGTCTCTCCTTCCCAGCCATACAAAGTTCCTTTTGATTATTTATTCCAAAGAAATAAAGGACGGGAGACAAGAGACTGAGCTCAAGCCACCAAAAGGCTTTCCAATGTTCTGCCTACAAACACACAATCCGGTTGTCAAAGCTTAAGTGAGGATTGAAAAGCCTTCTGGTCATTTAGGTTACCTGTCTCTTTCTGGCTATCCTTTCTTCCAGTTCCTTCTTTTTCAAACCTCTCCATTTTGCTTGCCCTTCTCTCGGACTGACTTGGCCGCTTGGATTTGAAATACTTGGATGGCTTCACGAGCCTATAGGAGGTTATCTTGTGATCGCTTTGTATGGCGTGAACCACGATAGTGTCGCCTTCCAGTGAGTCACGAAACCTGAAAAAAGAAAACAAGCATCTGCAATAGCCACCGTTTTAATAATTTACACCATTTTAATCATTCTACATAATGGCTAGGTAATAAAGCAAGACTGCAAGACACCATGCTTATAAACACATCATAGCGCACTGGCTCCAAAATTTTACCATGCATATACCAACAAGGAGGTAATGGAAATTGGATAAGGCTTGGTTAAAGAGCAAGTAGAAATTTCTTTCCAAAAACCCATTATTAATCAGTATAATACCACTGTTTTGCTAATGTGTAGAAAATAAAAAAAAAAATTTTTTTCAAGCTAACTGTAGTTTAATGGTAAATGGATGACATCAAACTGAGAAAATGTAATCTACCTCCCTATATATTAACTCACATTATATATACATATATCTTATTATATCTCATACTAGAGGTTCAGCACACAAAATCGCACGAGACCCAGAGTCCTGCTGCCACTGCCGCGGGACCCAGAGTCCCTCCTGCCGCCGCCGTGGGACCCATCAATGCACCTCCTGGTGACCAGTTGTTTGGTTGTTCTGGCATTCCAGCATTAGAGCCACTGGCTTTTTATAATATAGATATTACATATAAAAATAATAGTGAGATGGATATATATCACATATATCTACACTAATAAAAGAAAGATGCAAATTGACCGTACCTTTGCAACACCCACCAGCCAATCAGGAGTGGGTATGCAAATTAACCCAACAAAGATGGCGGGTTAATTTGCATACTTAGGCACTGAGTGGTGGGGGGTGGGGCTGGGTGGGACGCTTGCATCGTCGTCATGGCGACGACGCAGGCATTCCACACCACCCCAGTCGCTCCAGGCCTCTGGGCAGTGTGAGAAGGCAGAAAGCCAGCTCTGGCCTGAGCGAAGGTGGTGCTGGCAGCCAGGGGAAGGAAGGCCCATTCGTGCACGAATCTTTGTGCATCGGGCCTTAGTATGTATCATATTACCCTATTTGCCTCTATAAAAATCATTAAGCTCCGAAATTCATATTACTTTCTAGTACATCTTTCTCATATAGCCCATAGAGATTTACCTTTTAAAGTCCTTCATCAATTAAATTGTTGTGCTTTTTGGCCTAATTAATAATTATCCCCTCTTGTTTTAATTTTAGAGTTTAACTTATTTACGTATACAGCAGTTATTCCTAGCTTATTTGCCTTTCTTGCTGTTTTTCTAACTCAATCCTTGTAACCTTTTAAACTCTATTACTCCTTTTAAAATGAGTTATTCTTTTTAATTTTTCCTTTTCTCTCATAGCATAGTGTCTTTCTCATCTCTATAAAACTTATTCTCTTTATCTTCTTACCCATGGGAGTTATTTTACTTTTTAAATTTTAGTCTTTCCACAAGACCCCAGATAAAACATGAAGAAAAATATGGATAGTTTTGAACATATCAAAATTTAAAACTTCTGCACAGTTAGAAAAATATGAACAAAGTTTAAGGCAAATGGCAGAGTAGGAGAAAGTATAATCTGTATAATAAATGGTAAATACTTAAAGAAATAGAGACCATCACTAAAAATAAGGGGGGAAATAAACAAAACTCCAAGAAAATGAATAAGAAATCTGAATAGGCAATTCTAAGAATAAAGATAAAAGAGCTATAGACATGAAAAGAAATGGTCAACTTCATCAATAATCCAAAGAATGTAAAATGGCCCTGGCCTGTGTGGCTCAGTTGATTGAGCATTGTCTCATGCACCAAGAGGTTGCCAGTTCAATTCCCAATCAGGAAACATGCCCTGGTTGGGGACTCTATCCCCAGTGGGAGGCAGCCAATCAAAGTCTCTCTCTTTCTCTCTCTCTCTCTCTCTCCCCCCCCCCATCAATAAAAATGTATTTTTAAGACAAAAAGAATGTAAATTACTCAACCAAGAGTTATTCTATTTGGCCTGTGAGATTGGTGAAGATGAAAACACTGGCAATATTGTGTTATTCAGTGGTACAACTTTATCCTCTCCCCCATTCCAATAAGATAGGATTCCAATTATTATTTCCCTCCATATTTTTATTAAAGACACCAACCTATGGAGGTGTAGGGGCTGGGACCAGGGTGGGATAGCAGGGAGTTAAGCGAACAAGTATTTGAGGGCAAAAAAAGTGGCGAGGAAGAGGTTTGGATGGGCAAACTGGGTCCTAGAGCTGTGGGCACTGGTTCCCTGCTTCTGACAGCATCTGGGAAGATGCAGGCCTCAAGGGTGATGGCAGCAAGTATATTCCATCCTGGGAGCCTCATCAAAGACTGCCTGCTCCAGCAGAGCACAGAAACCATAGATTCAAAGAACTAAAAAAGCAGGCAGGCTGGGGCAACAAGCCTCAGTGGTACTAAAACTGACTTTCTTGTCTACCTGGTAGAATAGGAGCCCAGAGTCAAATAAAATAAGACTAGAAATATTGCTTATATACCTGAGTTTAAGCATTAACTGGTTAATTAATACTTGCCATATAAATACATTTACGAATATGTTATGAGTAGTAAAGCCAAACATAGGATACTATGTTGAGGGTTCTTCCTGAGAAGAACTTCCTTCTTTCATCTCTTGGTGGGTAGCAATTTAGATATAATTTAAGGACGTAAATATATTCAAATATTATCCAAGAATTAAAATATTCAGGGATTAATGCCAGGTAACAAGTGCCATAATTCACAGGGCAGAGTACCAGAGAAGAGGCTGCTGCACAGGGAGAGCTCTGGGGCCCTGCAAAGGGCTCCCTTCCAGCCTTCAGGTGCGTCTGATCAGCACATAACATGTGAGGAGTCACCTGAGGCTGGGGAAAGAAACACTCGCACACAGTTTGAAATAGCTTGTGTTTTCACAAGACTTATAACACATAGGATGTAGGGTAGAGTACTCAGAAGTATTTTATCTTAGCAGTGGGGGGAAATTAGCTATAGACTAAAGGCTGCCTGATCCCACCTAACAAAAATGGAAAGCCAGCCTCAAAAAAATAAAAAATTAAAAAACCAAGCTATTTTCAAGTAACTTCATTAAATTTCAGAACAAAGATCAAGAGCAATGTAAAATTTACAATGTCTGGCATCCAATTAAAAATTTTTAGGCAGGCAAAGTGGAAGAAAAATATGATTCAAATTAAAGAGAAAAATATCAATTAATGGAAGCAGGCCCAGAAATGACACAGATGATATAAGTAGCAGAGAAGGACTTTAGTTATTAAAATATGTTTTATATATTCAAGAAGGTAGAAAAAAGCATGAGTACTACTAATTGTTAACCAGTTAATAATGTGGACTAAGCATTACCTGTTTAATAATGTGGATTAATTGTTAACCAGTTAATAATGAGGATTAAGCACTAACCGATTAATAATGCAGATCAAGCGTTAACCAATTAATAATGCAGATCAAGCATTAACCAGTAAATAATGCAGATTTTATGCGTTTGGGATTCTCAAAATAGACCCACTTTTCATCACCAGTCACAATTCGATGCAAAAAAAGACTTTATTTCATGTCATTGAAGCAACATTTTACTGTTGACTTTTCGGTTTTTCATTTGTCTTTCGTTCAGTTGATGTGGCACCCATTTTCTTTTCTTTAAAACCTTTCCCATTGCTTGTAAACGATCGAAAATGTGTATTTTGTAATCAAAGAAAACACGATAATTTCAAGAGAAACATCAAAAGTGCTTTATTCAGAGTCATGTCCATCGCTGGCTACACATCCCCCATCTTTCAGGTGATTGGTGGAGACCGTCCCAATAGAACTTTCCTTGTTTTAAGGCCGGCCATTCAGAGACCCAGTTTCCACCGTCTTCGCACGTGTTGAAGGGCCGCTCAGAGAGCGCGTGTGCCATCGATGGGAACAGGTGGTCATCGGAAGGAGCAATACAACCAAAGAGCACACACATCAGATCGCATGTGGACCAGCACACGCGTGACTCCGTCTATTGGGAAAAAATCCGCATTATTAACCAGTACACCTAGTAATTAAGGTGATCAAAATCATCATACTATGCCCTAACTGGTTTGGCTCAGTGGATAGAGCGTCGGCCTGTGGACTGAAGGGTCCCAGGTTCTATTCCAGTCAAGGGCATGTACCTTGGTTGCAGGCACATCCTCAGTGGGAGGTGTGCAGGAGGCAGCTGATCAATGTTTCTCTCTCATCAATGTTTCTAACTCTCTATCCCTCTCCCTTCCTCTCTGTTAAATATCAATAAAATATATTTTTTTAAAAATCATCATACTATGAAGTCAATAAATAATGATTAGTAATAAATTCACAGAAATATGTTATTTAGATTAATGGTTGCCACCACTAAAAGAGATGTTAAAATGATATATGAAGAGATGTTTAATGATATATGAAGAGATGTTTAATGATATATCATGTTTATGGATTGTAAAAGTCAATATTGTTTAAATGTCCATTATGTCTAAATTGATCTACAGATTCAATGAATTTCAATTAAAAAATATTAGCATGCTTTGTGAAAATTGACAAGTTGATTCTATGCAAAAAACCTAAGTAATATTGAAGATGAAAAACAAAGCCAGAGGAGTAATAATATCAGAAGTCAAGAATAAAACAATGTGAGACTAGATTAAAGATATGCCAGTGGAATAGAAAGAAGAGTTTAGGAACAGACTCACATACATACAGTTAACTGTGGCATCCTTACAATCTAGTGAGGAAAGAATAGTTTTTTCAGCAAATGACACTGAGTCAATTAGAGACAAATGGGATTTGTAATGCTCATGTCCATACAGAAACAAATGATACTCAATCTCTCTCTTTTTTTTTTTTTACAAAAATTTCTTTGAGCCAAATAGAAGATATGCCTGGAAGCAAGATCTCAACAGACAGAAATAAATGCTTTAGACAATGACAGTTTGCAGTTTCTTTGATAAACATGAGATTAGGGGGGGTTACACGAATGTGGGAGAAAGCAAAGTGGGAATCATGTGCTTTCTTGAATGTGGTCACACTTTAGAAGAAGGGATCTGAAAGGGGGCAATTTCAAAGGTGTGCTAGGCTAGAGGCAAAGAAACAATGTGCAGGGCTTGCTTAAAGCAAAAATAAGCCTTTTACTAAAGAAGTTATACGCCTGGAGTGTGAATGTGACTACCCACCATGACCTTCCCAGTTATGAACCTATGACTTGCCCTGTATCTTACAATACCCATTAGAATTATTCAAGAGAGAGAATGGAAACAATAAAGAAAACATAGGAGAATTATCTCATGAATTGGGAACAAAGTTTTCTAACAACAGCATGAAAGCTCTAACTAGTAGTAAAAGAATTAGTGAAATATTAATAAATTGAAAAGAAATGATAAATTGAACTCTTTGAAATTAAAAACTTCTATTCAAAAGGCACAATAATGAGATTGAAAATCCAACCAGACTAGAGCAAGATATTTTACACACACACACACACACACTGATTACTATTATTACTTATAATTTAGTATTTGTTGCATATACTCACCAAGCTAACATACACTGAGTGGCCAGATTATAATGACCACCTGACGTTTGTAGGCAAATTAGCTATAATTTCACAGTGAAGTTGCTAGAGGGCCAGACCATTATAAACATCTGAATAGCACAACATACCTAAGTATTGTTGCTGATCAAGTTCATCCTATCATGTTGATGGCGTATTACAATGGAGATGGCTTCTTCCAACAAGACAACACACCAAGCCACGGTGCTCGTATTGTGCAGGAGTGGTTTCAAGAACATGAGGGAGACTTTACCTTGCTTAGGTGGCCCCCACAATCACCAGATCTCAATCCAAGTGAGCATTTGTGGGACAAAGTTAAAAGAGCCATCAGGCAGCTAGTTCCACAACCATTAAATCTCACAGAACTGGACAGTGCTATTCATCAGGCCTGGTGTCAGATTCCTCGCATCACCTTTCAACATCTCCTGGAGTCCATGCCAAGAAAAATCGCCGCAGTATTGAAGGCAAAAGGTAGCCCAACGAAGTACTGATGGGGTGGTCATAATAATCTGGCCACTCAGTGAGGACATGCCCAGAGAGAAGGTTATAGGTAGAGACGCAGAGAGTCCACCACATGAAGGCAGCAGCGCGGAGTGATGCATCTACACCACTGATTCCTGACAAACCACCAGAATTTCAGAGACGGGCATGGAACTGATTCTCCTTCCCCTCTCTCAGTTAAAAACAACTTAGTCAACACTTTGATCTTGGACTTCTAGCCTCCACAACTATCAGTTTGTAAATACCTGTTGTTAAAAATCAACCAGTCTATGGTACTTTGTCATGGAAGCCCTAGGGAACCAATACAAGGAGATCAATTCGAATTCTCACACGTTGAGGACCAGCATATAAATTGGTTGAACCGCTTTAGAAAACTGTCTGGCAGTGTCTGATCAAGTTAAACATGCATATAACTTCGGACCCAGCAGTTCCACCCTTGATTATACAGCAAACAGAAAGAAGTGTTTATGTCCACCAAAAACATAAAAATAAAAAGGCACAAGAATGTTCATAGTCTCATTACTCAAAGTAGTCAAAACATAGAAGAAACAACTATTTCTCAACAGTTAAATGCACAAATAAATTGTGGCATTACCATTTAATAGAATATTACAACGCAAGAAAAAGAATGAGCTACTGCTACCTGCAACAACATGGATAACCTGAGGCATGACATTAAGTAAAGAAGTCAGATACCAAAGAGTTCATACTGCAACATTTCATTCATATGAAGTTCAGACAAAACTAATCTATGGTGGTAAACATTCATTTTTTGAGATTAAATTCTTACTTGGAGGGATCATGAGAGAATGTTCTGGAGTGATATATATATATATATATATATAGAGAGAGAGAGAGAGAGAGAGAGAGAGAGAGAGAGAGAGAGAGAGAGAGAGATTTGTTTATACATCTGTAAAAATTTATCAAGCTGTTCAATTAAGATTTATGCATTTCAGCCCTGGCTGGGTGGCTTAGTTAGAGCATCATCCCATATACCAGAAGGTTGTGGGTTTGATTCTTAGTCAGGGCACACAACTAGGTTGCAGGTTCAATCCCAGGTCAGAGTGTATATGAGAGGCAACCAATCAATGTTTCTCTCTTTCTTTCATTCTCTCTCCCTCTCTCTCCTCCCTCCTTCCTTCCATCCTTCCTCCCTTCCTCTTTCAAATCAATAAACATATCCTTGGGTGAGGATTAAAAAAAATATTTATGCAGTTTACTGTATGTAAATTATATCTTAAAAAGAAAAGTAATTTTCCCTGTCAAACTGGTACATGAGAGGGATGAAGGGATAAGACAGGAAGTTGTCTATCATCATAAGTCCTTTGGTTCTATTTTATTTTTGTTTGTTTTTTAATATTTACATGCTATTTTATCAATTAGAGAAAAAATAATTTGTTAAAAACAAAGTAAATATATATTACATAATTGGGTTTGTATCTAATTGTTAAACTAATTTCTCAGATTTAAATTAGCAAGGCGTGAGCAGAAAGCTCAGGAAGTTATTAGTAGGAATGACAAGAAGATTTCTTGAGATTTCAAGAGTTAGTGCATATTTCAGAAGACCTCTTATCTGACCACTTTGATTAAGTTACTGCAAACTATTTTATTCAAATATATGCTCTCAAACATCTTAAGTTGCAAGAAATATGGATCCTACCTTTTCTCTAGCTTCTTTAGGCCAAATTCATGTTTCTCTTTTTCCCAAGCTAATTCCTTTTCCACTTGATGAATGTTATGAGCTGTTTTTCTGTTCATCTCAGCACGAATTTTGGCATCTATATTAAAATCCTGCAAATAGGTATATTTGTTCATCAAAATGGGTACTTTATCAATCCTATACCATACATATATATTTTAAGTTGTGTCCTCAATTTCCTGACGCATCATTACTCTCTCCCAAATATCATAAACACTCTCCATTCTAGAAGGAAATAACAAACTTTTGATCTTCCACAAAAAATAGAAAACAGGTCTCAAAAATAATTAACAATGATGCAAATGAAGTTATGTACTAAATGATCTTCTCACAATAAAAATAATGAATGGTAACAGAATATTTAAAGAATATATAAAGTTTAAAAGAATACTCCGGAGCTTCACAGAGTTTTAAAAAACTGTTTTCCCTCCACTCTAAAGCAACTACTGCTACCAGCTGGACTGGGCACAGCTGACCATGAGCTCCTTAGCTGAACATCTTCTCCCACGTGACCCTACCCTGGAATGATAGCAAAGTCTTTGGCATCTTCTTAACATCACCAAGTTCTGGTTCCCAAGGGGGTTTCTTTTCCCCATAAAGATACGTAGAGGCCTCATGTTTCCTACCTTCACGCCTATAAAATTTCAGGTACTTTGTTCACACTAAATTGGGAGTAGCAATTATTCTTCCCAGAGGAGCTGGAGGTTTAAGTCATGATGTGTGTTAGGTGTGAGCTACAGATCTTGCCTCAGTTGTCCTTTATTTTGAATTTTGTCACCCTTATTCTGCCAAGTGTCTACCTTTTTCTTACTGAAAGAGCATAGACATCTTTTAACCAAAGTGAGTTAACCATCATGATCTCACCCAAGCATTTTTATATGAAATCGATTAAGTGCCTCTAGAATGACAGGACTGGGCAAACCACGAATATAGTCAGGATGATAAATTCTGGGTTTTTATTTGATAAGGTGCATGACAGTACTTCCATTAAGGAAGAAGTACAAAATGGAAAAAAAAAAAAAAAAGCCCCAACTGGTTTGGCTCGTGGATGAAGCATTGGCCTGCAGACCAAAGGGTCCTGCATTCTATTCCGGGCAAGGGCACAGACCTCGCTTGCAGGCTCCTCCCCGCCCCAGCTCATGCGGGAGGCAACCAGTCAATGTATTTCTCTCACATCAATGTTTCTCTCTGTCTTCCCCTCTCTCTTCCACTCTCCCTAAAAATCCATGGAAAATATCCTCGGGTGACGATTAACAACAACAACAAAATGAGAAAAAAGAATCACTGGCAAGTAGATGGAGTTTTGCAGTAAGTCACAAAAGAAAAAAAAATCAATACAAAATTACCTTAAACAATTCAGTGTTCACCACCATAGCTACACATAAACTAAGTCAGAAAGTCTGTGGATAAAGCAGGTATTATCTTTTCAATAGGTCTGATGAATTATGGAAATGGAAGCACCAAGAATCAGATCATATATATATACAATAGTTAGATATCTCCACTGCATATGATAAAGAGTTGATAACCAGATTCAAACCTATATTTGTATCTTGTTACACACACAAAAAAGGAAAGGTAGCTAACTCCAGAAGTAAACTTTGTATTTAAGAGGTTCTTCTGCATCCAAACTAAGTTGTGTGACAAGTGCTACAGTAAGTAGTTTAGTGGCTGCCCACACACTGACTGGCCAAATTTATTTTTGACTTACTGTCCGTTGAAACTGCATATGCTTTGGTAATTCTTTGTTCATTTCTAACAGTTTCTGAAATTGATTCCTCAAAGCTTTGAGTTGTTCTCTCTTCTTGGCCTTCATTTCTTCCACTTCTTTCATTAACTTGTCATGTTCTCTTTTTCTTCTGGCATTCTCTATACTGAAAACAAAATTTGAAAGACCAACAAATAAGGATACAGAAACAGCACAGAGAAAATTAGTATTAAATATTTGGAAATTTATTTAGCTTAGTCAACTTCTGTGACATATTGGTTTGTTTTGCAAAAGCTCAGGCTTGGTAGGTATTTATCAAAAACCAAAGGCCCAGTGCATGAAAATTTGTGCACTGGGGCGCGGGGGGGGGGGTGCATTGGGGAGACCCTCAGCCTGGCCTGCACCCTCTTGCAGGCCGGGAGCACTCACGGGGAGCGGGCCTAAGCCACCGCCTGGCCTTCCTCTGCAGGAGGCAACGAGGCAGGCTGATCAAGGAATGGAGCTGGCCGGCCTAACCCTGAATCACCCCGCTGCAGGAGGCCACCCCCGTGGGCCGATCTGGGGACAGCCCTGCCCCCCGCATCGCCCCTCCACTGCCGCTGGTCACCGCTGCCCCCCATCACCATCCCCTCCCTCTGCCCACTGGCACATGCCAGCCGGTCCTGCTGACCCATCGTTCCACCATTCAGTCGATTTGCATATTATGCTTTTATTATATAGGATTCCCATACCTGTAGGCTTTGGGATCTTCAATATCTTCTGGAATTGGCTCTGTTTCAATTCCAAACTGTAGGATGAGGAATAAAATGTTAATCCTTTTAAATTGCATATTTCCCTTAAAATATCTAATCATAGTAAATTGAGGGGTTTTCCCCTGCCAGTTTCTAGCAACTGTAGTTCTGGAAAGTATTTTCACAAAAAATAAACTAAGGAAAATATTGCATTTGTTTCTGTTTCATTTAAAGGGGTAAGTAGAGAAAGTCTTGAAACTTAATCATATGTATGCAAAATGTTAATATCACCATATTGCCCCTTCAAAAGTGAATTACTAGTATTCATGTATTAACAAATACACAATTTTTCTCAGTCATTTATTTTAAAACTAGAGGCCCGGTGCACAAAAATTTGTGCACTAGGGGGTAGGGGGGAAAGTCCCTCAGCCCGGTCTGTGCCCTCTCACAGTCTGGGACCCCTCAGGGGATGACCACCTGCTGGCTTAGGCCCGCTCCCTGGAGGATTGGGCCTACAATGGCAATCAGACATCCCTCTGGCAGCCTAGCAGCCCTCGGGGGATGTCCACTTGCCAGCAGGGAGCAGGCCTACACAGCAGTTGGACATCCTTAGCGCTGCTGAGGAGGCAGGAGAGGCACCTGCCATCACCATTGTGCTTGCCAGCAATGGGAGTGCACTAACCACCAGGGGACAGCTCCTGCATTGAGCGTCTGCCCCCTGGTGGTCAGTGCACATCATAGCGACTGGTCATTCTGCTGTTTGGTTGATTTGCATATTAGCCTTTCACTGGAACTGAGAGCTGGCTTTAGCTCTGAGGCTCGGCTCCAGCTCTGAGACCTCGGCTGCTGAAAGCAGGTATCTGGGTTTGTTTGGCTTCTATAATTGAAACACTGTTGCAACTCCAGCTCTGAGGCCAGCTGGCTGAAAGCAGGTTTCTGGGGTTTGTTTAGCTTCTATAATTGCAACATTGTTTCTTAGAGTGCAGCTCAGAGGCCATCAGCAGCAGGCAGGTAACCTTGGCTTCCTCCATCACTGGAGCAAGCAAGCCTCCTCTTCACTTCAGCTGCCTGGCTGCCGGCCGCCATCTTGGTTGGCAGTTAATTTGCATATCACCCTGATTAGCCAATGGGAAGCATGTCGGAGGTATGGTTAATTACCATGTTTGTCTATTATTAGATAGGATAGTCTTTTATTAACATATCTCTTTTATGCACACATAATCCCCTCAAATACCTCATGTATATACTAGACAGACTTTTAACTATATGTATATGTGTGTGTGTATATCTATATTGTTTAAAGTTTTACATATGTCTCTTTTTTCCCTGATTGGTCCCCCCCCCGTCAGCCACTCCCACCCTGAGAGCAAGTCCCCACCGCCCAGTGTCTGTGTTCATTGGTTATGCTAATATACATGCATACAAGTCCTTTGGTTGATCTCTAACCCTTCCCCCCACCCCCACTCCACATTCTCTCTGAGGTTGGACAGTCTTTTCAGTGTTACCTTGTCACTGGGTCTATTTTTGTTTATCAGTTTATGTTGTTTATTATATCCCACAAATCACTGAGATCATGTGATATTTATCTTTCTCCAACTGACTTATTTCACTTAGCATAATGTTCTCCAGTCCCATCCATGCTGTTACAAATGGTAAAAGTTCCTTTTCTTTTTAATAGTGGCATAGTATTCCATTGTGTAGATGTACCACCATTTTTCAATCCAGTCATCTGCTGATGGGCACTTAGGTTGTTTCCAAATCTTAGCTATGGTAAATTGTGCTGCTATGCAC